TGAATATTGCTTGATGTCGAATTCTAGTTGACTAATGGTTTTATTTCGAACTAGGAGGTTCTCACTTCCAGCCACTTTCCTGGCACATAAGAATGAAAATTGCTCTGGGTGCTGCAAGAGGTCTTGCCTTTCTTCACAGCACCAAGGCAAAAGTAATATATCGAGACTTCAAGACTTACAATATCTTACTTGATTCTGTAAGTATATCTTGCTTGCTATAGTCAAGAAAGATATGCATTGTACTTGTGACCACTTCATTAATTTTATATTTGTAGGACTTCTGAATGGTTAACATGATATTTCGCTGCGTGTGCTTTTGATTTGCAGAACTACAATGCAAAAATTTCTGATTTTGGGTTGGCAAGGGATGGGCCAACTGATGATAAGACTCACGTCTCAACTCGGGTCAAGGGAACTTATGGATATACTGCTCCCGAGTATATAATAACAGGTAGTAATGTCGTGCAGTTTCCTCCATATTCCATTAATAGGTTAACCATATTAATCATACACTGCATCCATGCTTGTTGACCTTGATCAATCTTTGAAGTTTTCCTGTCAAGTTATGCTCTCTGCATTTGTTATGGTCAACGTGAGTTGCTTGCTTCATGGAGCTAGTGCGTGGCAAATTATCACCTATTTATTGCATTTGAAACGATTATGGAATCAAATCTCTGAAATATTTAAGTTTGAAAAAAATAATGCTCTCAGAAGTGTACACCTAGAGAGAAAAACAGGGTTGTATAATATGGTTCCCCCGGCCACCCCCATTGTTTTCTCCAATGAATTCTCTTAGGTTTGAGCACAGCCACCCTTTTTCTTGAAATAGAGGAAAACGAAATCCTTCCCATACCCGTGGAGGCATGCAACCAGCTGGCAAAATATGTTAGCTCTCATGCTTCTCCAGTTTTCGTTTCCCGGTACTTTATTGAACTGTGCTTGACTAATAAGAGTTAATCAATTTACTGGTTTTTGCTTCAATTTGCATCAGCAATTGCAACTGTAATTCACTAGTCAAATAGTTAATGCTATCCTAACGAACTTTTTTTTTTTTTTTAACTTTTGTGCTTTTGGGGGGAAGGCCAGGCCATTTAACTGCCAAGGTTGATGTATACAGCTTTGGAGTGGTACTTCTAGAAATTTTATTTGGGAAGAAAGCAGTAGACAAAAATCGGCCATTGGGGGAAGAATATTTGGTTGCATGGGCAAAACCTTACCTGACGAACAGACATATATTGCTGCGCTTTCTAGACCCCTGTCTTGAAGGCCAGTACTCGATAAGTCAAGTCTTAAAGGTAGGTACCCTTGCGTTTCAATGCCTAAGCGCAGAACCCAAGTCGAGGCCAACCATGGACGAGGTCGTAACTGCTTTAGAACAGGTTCAGGAGTTAAAATGAACTTCAAAAAATGATCAAAACAATCACCAATCAAAATCAAATTGACACATCCAACCTCACAGAGGATGTAGGTCATGCTGAAGCAGTGCTGAAGAAACTCGTGAAGTAATGGCTTATCCCAGAACTTCAGCTTCCCGATTTACGCGTAAAAAAAGAGGCATGTCATAGTCTTCGTTGGTTTAGTGGTGACTGGTGATGAACTTTCCGCATAGCTATATAAATGTACTCTCTTTTTTGTTTTGGCAATGCTTTTGTAATCAGTAGGACAGCATTCTGATTTATTGATGCATGATGTCTGGAAATTCCAGCAGCTTTTAGCTCAACAGCATGGAAATCTTAATTTTAAAAAAAATAATAATATGTTGTTGAGGATATTTGTCCATGAATCTCAAATATTCATATAGTTTGCTCTAAAGGTGTATCGAAAAAAATACTGAATTGAATGTGTTATACGTTATTGAATTTCTTGTTAGAAAAATGTGAGGAGCAGTTCAACTGGGTTTCTAAC